AAGTCGCTGATCGAGATATTCAACGTAGTTTAACAGCAATTGAGCAATTTTTTGTTCAAGGATACAAGTTCCCAAAAGGAAACAAAAATTGAAAGAAATAAAGAAAACTGGAGAGTATAACAAGAAGAACATATAGCTAAAAACAAGCAAGAACAGTATCTTCAAAATGACAAACTAAAGCTCTTTCAATTGGAATGTCTGGCTATCACCATGTGAGAATCAAGATGAGACTTTGGAAACTTTTAAACTGTGGTTCTCTCCCTGTTTTAGATAGACAAATGATGGGAAAAATGAATTCCGTCTGTTATGTTAACTGAGGATTTGTAATGAAGGTGTTGAGTTTATTCAATTGCAGATCCTCTAATCTCTTTCCTTTGTTCTGAACATGTACTAAGAATTATATTCTTGGAGTTAATTATTTATCTGTTAGTTAATTGAACAGGCCTCCCATAGTGGCTCAATGTGATAGGAAGCGAGTACTTTCCTCATGGGCACCATACTGCCGAAACTCAGCTCCATCCGAATATCAGATTCAATTTTCAAGCGTGCGTTATCTAACTCCACGAGAATTTGTTGAGAAATTATCAAAGGAGCTTGGCGTTCGTGGAGTTGTTGCAGGTAAATTGAATTAAGACGTGTGGTACAAGTCATTATTGATAAAATACTCTCTTGGACTTGAGTAAAGTGTGATCGTTTCGAGGTTTTGATTGATGATGGTGGCAGGTGAAAGCTATAGGTTTGGATATAAAGCAGCAGGTGATGCAGCTGAGCTAGTGAAACTGTGTGAGGAATATGGGTTAGGTGCTTATATTATAAAATCTGTGATGGACAGAAACCAAAAAGTTGTTAATTCTACCAATTCAATGGAGAGAGGACAAGTGTCATCTACTCGGGTTCGCTACGCCCTTTCCATAGGAGATATGAAGTATGTCTCTGAGCTTTTAGGCCGCAGACATCGCCTTATTTTGATGGCAAAAGGCCTAGAGGGATTAAGCAATAGCAATAGCAATAGCAGATTGTCTGCCCCAAAATCATGTTTGTTAAATTTAGCACCAAAAGAAGGTCTCTATAATAAGTGTTTCGTCTGTACAAGTGACGATGATCTAATCCCATGTCGGGTAGTTATTGACTCAACTCATGTTCACATAGAAATGGATGATATAGGCACACGTCATCCCGTAGGAACACAAAACTACTTAAGTGTTGAATTTGACCATGAAGGAGCATGATCATGTTCAATTAGCCTCCTGGAATTCCTTGATGAGATCACTTACCACAAACTAAAATGTCGGATCCCAGAGATTCTGGATTATATGCATCAGAGAGATTCATAGCTATTCTTACAAAGAGGTATTGAGCTTGTTTCAGCAATTATGTTCTAAATATTTGCAGACACGAAACACGGGTCACAGGTCACGGGCCACAGGCCGATGTGGGTAATGCTTCATCATTTACAGCTGGTTCTGTGAAGAAACACTACTTATTTTGGCAGGAAAAGCTCAATAGTTCCTTTCAGCTGTCCGACAGATGCATATGACCCGAAGGTACTTCTATATGTATTAACTAAAGCACGTTGTTTGCAAGGAATTATTATGTTTATGTCTCTATGTTCATTTAGCTGGAAACAAATAACTCAGAGGCATCGTTTTCTGTTGGCACTGTACATGATATCTATAATTTATTTAGGTGGAAGTTTTCTTTTTTTTCAACAGATCAAAAGCTGTTGAACCCATTTTGAGTTCTAACATAAAATTTAGACCCTTTTCACTTGCTTCTTGAAATGTAAGACAGGTAGTACTGTAGCCATGTTTTCCCATGTTGTCTTACATTTCTAGGTTCCCTTATATAAGAACATGATTTTGCTTTTAAACTTTGTTTCTGAGTTTTCCATGTGGAATCATGGGAACGAAACATTCCTTAAAAAGAGTGGAAACCTCTTTCTAATAAATTCGTTTTAAAATTGTGAGATATGTAATGGGCCAAAACGAACAATATTTGCTAACGGTGGGTTGAGCTGTTACAAATGATTTAGAGCTAGACACCGAGCGGTGTGCCAGCGAGAACGCTGGGCCTCAAGGAGGGTGGATTGTGAGATCCTACATTGGTTCAAGAGAGAAACGAAGCATTTCTTATAAGGGTGTGGGAACCTCTCTCCCTAGTAGATGCGTTTTAAAACCGTGAGGCTAACGGTGAAATGTAACGGTCCAAAGCGGACAACATCTACTGGACAACATCTGCTAGTGGTGGGGTTGGACTGTTACACTTTTCCTCTTTAACTAACTTATTAGTGCAACGTACTGGAAAGATCTAATGTCTTGAAGTTTGATATCAATAATCGTTGTTCTATGCATCTCGGGTGTAGTGGAGTTAGCTTATTTGATAATCTTGTGCACTGATTTCTGTACTTATTTCAGCTTTAAAGGTTTTGGAGCTAAAGCTTTGTCCTTTTTTTTTAAAGTCGGAATATATATATTTTAATCAATTGCGTTATATCATTTTATTTCGAGACATTATAATAATTAAAACAAATTCAATTATGTTTTAGGAGAAAAAATATTCTTAAAGGAAAATAAATATGTCTAATAATTGGTTGTTGAGGTTTTAAGAAACATGAACATGGCAGTTGGCTTCAATCATTAAAATTCTCTCGAAGTGGCTTTCCTTTTATCTAATCATATAATCATTTGAGAAAATAAAATCATTTATTAAAAAAGCAACCATATATCCAAATGTCGAAAATACCCCCATCATCAAAGAAGTTAGCCGTGGTTGGTGAGGGTAGTTATGTAACTTCTAGTAACAAGATTATCTGGAGCTATCCGCAATCAAGACTCCTCGGCTTCTTCGCTACGATGTCAATTACGAGCAAATTAGGGCTTCTTCTATTTAGCCCCAATCTTTAATCTCTCTCTCTTCACTCTTCCTTCTTCAAATTGGCTCTGAATTTTTCGGATATGGCTTCCACTGATTCGGCATTGGAACTCGGGTCCGACTCATCTGGGGTTACCGTCTGTATCAATGATACTCTGACCGATGACGAGCTCCGATCCATACTGGATAAGATTGAGAGGGACAAAGACAAGGAGATTTTTGGGTTAGTTTGCAAGAGATGGCTTCGAGTTCAGAGCAACGAGAGGAAGAAGCTCTCAGCTCGTGCGGGTCCTCACCTGCTTCGAAAAATGGCCTCCAGATTCTCGCGCCTCTTGGAATTGGATCTCTCGCAGTCTACTTCTCGGTCTTTTTATCCGGGTGTTACGGACTCCGATCTTTCTGTCGTCGCTAATGGTTTCCAGTACTTGAAAGTCCTCAATCTTCAATATTGCAAAGGTAGCTACTTCCGCGTACTATAGTATGTTTTGCTTTGGCTATAATGTTCATGGTCGTATGCAGCTGAGTGAAGTATATGTTTTATCTTCTAATTCTCTACTGATTGTTAATCTCAAGAGTTTTAACGCTTTGGGTTTTAAGGTAGACATCTACTTGAACGATTTAGGAGATTCGAAGCATTTTAAAAATAACACCAGGGTCGTTTTTTTTTTTTTTGTTTCCTTTTAAGTTTTCATTGATCTTGGACCAATGAATTAGTTGAATTTATGCATTAAAAAAAATAAATAAATAATCTCGCTGGAGAAATATAACTCTGTTACTGCAAAGAGGAGTGAGCCTGTGGTATGAAATGATCTTGTCATGTTCTTAAAATTTGGTCACAAAAGGATACTTGGTGAAGTTGTTTAGTTTATTTGTGATTAATTATTATGATATGAACTTGGCAATGGCCACAAGCGAATTGCTGGTGTTCTTTTTGATGCATATGTTTGATATCTTCATTTTTTTTGCATCTGTGCTTGCAGGCATCACTGATTCTGGAATAGTAGCAATTGGAAGCAGTCTTTCAAAACTGCAGTCGTTGGATGTGTCCTATTGCCGAAAGTTGACCGACAGGGGATTCTCAGCTGTTGCAGAAGGATGTCACGACCTAAGAAACTTGAATCTGGCTGGCTGCAAACTGGTTACAGATGGGCTATTAAAAACTCTTTCTAAAAACTGCCACAATTTAGAAGAATTGGGTCTACAGGGCTGTACAAATATAACTGACTCAGGACTAACAGAACTTGTCAAAGGGTGTCAGAAGATTGAGCTTTTAGATGTTAATAAATGCAGCAATGTTGGCGACATTGGCGTATCCAGCGTCTCGATGGCTTGTTCATCCTCTCTCAAGACGTTAAAGTTGTTGGATTGCTATAAAATTAAAGATGACTCCATTTTGTCACTGGCTCAGTTCTGCAATCATCTTGAGACTCTTATTATAGGTGGCTGTAGGGACATCTCTGATGAATCTATTCAAAAGCTTGCACGAGCATGTAAAAGTAATCTCAGAACTTTGCGTATGGACTGGTGTTTGAACGTAACTGATTCTTCATTGAGGTGCATATTCACCCAATGTAGCAATCTGGAGGCACTCGACATTGGTTGCTGTGAGGAGGTGACAGATGCTGCTTTCCATACTCTGGGAAGCGATGGTACTGAGGTGAATTTGAAGGTTTTGAAGGTTAGTAACTGCCCGAAGGTCACGTTAGCCACGTTAAGTATTCTTGTTGACAAGTGCAATTCTCTTGAATATCTGGATGTGAGGTCCTGCCCTCATATTACCAAGGCTGGATGTGATGAGGCTGGATTGCAGTTTCCTGAATCATGTAAAGTGAACTTTACAGGAAGTTTATGCGAGCCAGATCTTTTTCTTTGAGACCCAATATCAGCAAAATCTTGAAACAATTCATGCCCCAATGTCTTTCAGACAGCATTTTTCGATTGCTTCATCGGGTACGCACCACTTCAGTCAGAAATCCTGTTAATAAGCATTCTAACGTTGTTGTTTGTGGGGATCAATAAGCATTCTAATGTCATTTTGGGGGGGGGTGATTACCATCGTAATTTATAGTGTAGAGTTTGCACGTAGATCGTGGATGTATATTGCATTTGCTTATGTTTCTTCTCTGTTCTTTCAACATTTATATGTTGGAAATTTGTTATCTAGTGTGGATATGAATAATATTGTTCTTCATTGTTCTTCAAATCTATCACTTTCGAACCATCTGCTGTATAAAGAGTTAAGCTTGGAGACGCGTCTGTGTAAACTGAGCTTTTTGCTGTTCTAGTTTGAGTGATTTGTGTTTTAATTAGAAATTTATTCAACAAACATTTAGATTTCTTGAACAGGATGGATCAAATCTGTGATCAAAATATTGACAAATTGATGATATCTGATATTTTAAGACGAGTTATATTCCCGTCACCAATAGAATCTTTACAATGTTCATAACTTTTTCCTGGATGGCACTTCCTTGGAGCCTCTCAGGCCAATCTTCTCAATCTCTAGAAACCTTCTTTTGGAGGAACTTGAATGCTTTCTCATAATTCAGAAAACCCATAAACCAGAAATCAAAATCATCCACAGTCACCACTTGAATGTACTTCTTTGACGGATTGTTTATATGCTCTATTTGGTTAACTCTCTTCATCTTCTTCAATGGGATCATAACCTGATGAATCAAGCACAGTACAAAAAACTTGTTAGCAACCACAGGGGTTTGTGAATGTTGAAGGATGTATAATGTTACCTTGTAGTTCAATCTGCCCAGTTCTCCTTCTGAAGAAGAGACGACGATTGGTCTGTCACTGCAGAAGGCAACCACATGGGTGGAGATAAAGAGGAGGCCTGCTACGGGACCTGCTGTGGTTGACAAATAACAGCGTGAACAACTTAGTAACTTCTCTCCTTGGCTGAGATTGAACATTTTCTGAAAAATCTTCTCATTTCCTCCAAACTGAACAAGTCTTGCCCCAGACCACAGCTTTCCCTTCAAATTCTCGGTGATGTTCGGTGACAGTTTAACTGCACGACATCATTCCGTTGTAACCATCAAGCAAGTAATCATTTGAATCGAGTTTGGTTTTTGAGTTATACGTTAGCACACAAGAAAAACGAAAATGCCAATCTTTGTTTATAGAGAAACAAATAGTAGTGCGATAGTTTTTGGTTTTAGCGTTCTACAAGCTTTGTGATCCTTCTTTTCTTGCTTAACCGGTTGAATTATGCTTATTAGATGAACATATAAGCAACTTTGCGATTCGCACCTGCATGAAAACAAGTCTAGAAATGGAAATTTTGAGGACGATCCAATCCATCATCATAATCATGTAGGAGAGAAAGTAAAATTCAGAGAGAGATTCTCTCTCAAATCAAGAGAAAAAGAAAACATCGCAGTTTACCACGTTCAAAGACTCCATTAACGAATCTGTCAACTTTTCTTCCAAGATGTCTAAACATTGAATTTGAGCTAGAGTTGTCAACCTTCTTCACGGGACAGAGAGAGATCTTCAGCTTTGGATTTTAAAAACAATTTATATTAATTTTTTTTTAATTTTTTTAGGCTTCATTCATAGAATCACACAGAACGATAATAGGCGAAAGATAAAAGGAGATAGTTTGGTTCAATTACGCGGATTACAGTCAATGTTGACACATTCAAAAAAATTCAACCCCTTAAGTTAAGAATGAGGTGTCAGTGAATAGGATACCAACTTAAAAAATTGAAACAACCAACAAAGTTGACAACACATAATTAGACTATACAATATATAATTATATGAACACAAAACTATTATTAGTGGTTATTGCCTCCGAGTCTATTCCAAATATATGTCTAATAAAAAAAAAAGTATAATTAGACGAAAGAATAGACTCTTATGGTTGGTTCGTTTCTTAATTAAAAAAGCAAAAACAAAGGTTTTCGAACATATGTAGTCAAAGTTTATCTTACTTTGAACTTAGAATTTTCTCATATCCGTTGGTTCTTCAATTTTCCGAATCTATGTTCTAGCATATGGATTGTATATAAGAAGAACGTATATAGCCTAGGTTGCCCAATTTATAGTCTCCAAATCCTACCAGAAAGTTTATTTAGATCGATCCCTAATAAGTTGGAGAGGGGAACGAAACATTTGTTATAAGACGCATTTTAAAACTGTGAGGGTGATGAGGAGATGTAACATGTCAAATTGATATTATCGGAGAGAAAGTAAGACCAAACCTAACTCGATAAACATATATGTAAAGTAATTGATAAAGAGAGATTTGTTTAAAAAGAAAAGAAAAAGGTTTATGTGGAATACAGTCAGAAGTGTTGAAGACATAATATTTAAAAGTTGTGGTTTTTAGGGTTATTGGAATTCCACATCAAACCTTCCACCTCACTTCCCATTACTTCATCCTTTTATGCTTTTAACCTTTTTGCACTTTCGAAAAATATGGTTCAGGGAGGCTTCTAACCTAACCCAAAACATCGGTGTGATCGATTCAATCGAGTTGATAAGTTCATTTCGGCTCAATTTGATAGTCATGGAGACGGATGATGATACGTATCGAGTTAAAGCGGACAATATCGGTTAGCGGTAGGCTTGGACTATTACAGTTTGGAAAGACAAAAAACCTATGGAAGACCGGTAAGAAAACAAGTATAATTTTCAAAACCCTAAACCCAAAAACTAAATAGTTATTGAATGAGATCTTGATCTTTCACTTTTGAAAATCAAGATCAGATACATGACTTCTGTTGTTATCTATAAATGTTTACAAAATTCATGCAGACAAGATCAAGGGTTAGTCGATCATAATTAAGAATAAAATAGAAGTTGTTTCTCATTTGAAGTTTAAAAATTTGTACAAAACTTTCTAACTTTTGTTGACATATGTTGGGATGATCTTCAAACTTTCCACACCCAAAACCCCATGAACACATCTCAATCCATTTAATAAAAACTTGGGTTCTTCGAAGACAAATTTAAATATTGAATTTGCTTCAAAAACTTCCCTAACTTTACACATATCTTCAATTCAAAATCAATCTCTCTAAGCTTGAGAAAGAGCTTCTTGAAGACAGTTGAAAGTCTTTTGGTAATTCAAGAACCCCATGAACCAAAACTCAAAATCATCCACTGTCACCATCTCTATGTACTTCTCCCATGGATTCTTCACATTTTCACTCTCAAAAACTCTTCTTATTTTCCCTAATGGAATTTTAACCTGAAAAAAACCATAGTTTTTGGAAGGATTAATTAGCTAAAAAGAGAGAGATCAAACAAAATATCAAACAAAAAGAGGGTTTAATTACCTTATAGTGAATTCTAACGTGTTTTTCGCCATTTGGGGAAGAGAGTTTGATGGATTTGTCACTGCAAAAAGCAATGTTATGAGTGGAAATGAAGAGAAGGCCAGCCATAGGCCCACCTGTTGTTGACAAATAGCACTGTGATGCCTTCAAAAGCTTCTCTCCTTCACTCACTGTGAATAGCTTCTTGTAGATCTTCCTCACCCCTCCAACTCTTACAATTCTTGCTCCTAAGCTCAACTTTCCCTTCACTGTTTCTGTGATCTTCGCTCCTAACTTCACTGCAAATCCAACCCCAAATTATCAGAAATGGTGAACCATTAATCGTGTCACCGGCTTCCTAAGAGAGAAAACTATTCCTACCACGTACGATGGTCGGTTAGGATAGCTTTCAACGAATTTGGAATGTTTGTAGATGGCTTACCATGTTGTCGGAGTGCATGGATGATATTGTCTGTTTTTCTCCCATTTTTGTGGAGTCTATTCAAGCTCCAATCTTTGCCATTATCTGAAACAATTGAAAACCCAAATCAGCAAACTATTTATAGATTCAACCAAGAAAGAATACTTTTTTTTGTTGTTCTTCTTAAGCTTACATTTCTTGATTGATTGAGACCCATCATCTGAAGAAGATATGTGGAGATGCTTGGAGGGATCAGCCAAGAATCTGGCTCGAGCAAGAGCGAGGGATTTCATCTGAGCTCCAAGAACTTGTTCTTGAATTGTAGTTTTCATTGTGTTTAGATCGAAGTTTGAGAGAGAGAGTGTTGGTGTGATGAATGAATTGAGAGTTAATAATGTATTTAAAGGGAAGAAGTTAGGAGGTGGGTGTGGTTGGAAGCTTTTACTTTTGATTTTGTCTGACTCATCTCTTGCTCATCATCAACTATCCGACAACAAAACCAATATTTTACACAAATTTAAAATATTTTCCCCCTTTTTCTCCTTTCCCTCTCAACAAAACCAACTAAACATCAACTGTTTTATGATCCTTTTAGAAACCATTCTTTTAATAAAATTTATTAGCTTAATGTGAGATCTTAGGTGGGTGAGCGGAACGAAACATTCCTTGTAAGAGTGTGAAAACCTCTCCCTAACAAATATTTTTAAAATCGAGAGGCTGATGGCGATACATTACGGGCTAAAACAGACAATATCCACTAGCGATGTGATTAGGCTGTTACAAATGGTATTAGAGCCAGACACCGATCGGTGTGCCAGTAAGAACGCTGGGTCCCAAAAGAGATAGAATGTGAGATCCCACGTCGATTGGAGAGAGGAATGAAATATTGTTTACAAGGGTGTGGAAACCTCTCCCTAACATACACGTTTTAAAACCGTGAAACTGATAGTGATACATAATGGGCTAAAAATATTTGCTAACAATATGTTTGACTAATACAAATGGTATCAAGACGAGACACTGAACGGTGCTAGAGAGGACGCTGAGCCTATAGAGAAAGTTGATTGTGAGGTCTCACGTTGGTTGGAGAGAGAAATAAAACATTTTTTATAAAACTGTAGAAACTTCTCCCTTAACATATACATTTTAAAACTGTGAAACTGACTATGATACATAATGAGCTAAAGCGGACAATATCTGCTAATGATGTGTTTGAATTGTTTGAAGGACATTTATAAAGAGATGCGTTAAAAGAAGTAAGGCAATCGGAGTTGGCATGATAGGTAAGCAGTGATGTTTGATAGCATTCCATTTCCCTTGGTGATAAGGAAAGTTTGGATGTGTGATATCATGTGCAACTTTGGGAGGTGGCCAGGTGGGTTTGTGAAGTCAGCACAGATTTTGTTAAGATTTTAGATAATGATAGGAAAGAAAAAGGCATGGATGAGTCAAATGAACCACCAAATCACATGCTTTCTCAAACCTTTTTAAACCATATTTTGTGTCAAAACTGTGCTTCCCATTATCTCTAACTATTATATCACCATCTCATACTCCTCCTGCCCTTCTCCTCACCCTGCAAATTCCCCCACTTTCTTGGGATCGTCTCAATTTTTTTCATACCTCAAATCATAAGAACGTCATATTTAAGCGTGTTTGTCTGTTTTTATATGGCATGTCTTGTAACAGACCAAGCTCATCGTTAACGTTAACGGTAACGAATATTGTTCTTTTTAGACTTTCCCATTCAAGGTTATGTTTTTTAATTATAATTTATAAAGAGAGAGATGTCGGCGATAGTGAATGATGAGTCATTCATCAATTGCAAAAGGAAAAAAGACAGCCCCACAAAGAAGATAAGCAAAAGATAAGCAAAAATCCATATTTTTGCTTGGTTGAATTTGGTCATCAAGAAAGAAAGTAACGTTCAAATTCAAGAATCGCCATCCATGAAATACATGCATCTTCTTTCTTTTCCGCCCATTTATCCATTAACCATTTCCAAAAATAACTCAATTACATCATTATCCATAACCTAATAGTTCAAGGTCATCGCTGTCGACCGATATTATCTTTATTGGACTTTTCCTTTCAAACTTCCTCTCAACGTTTTGAAACTCGTCCACTAGGAAGAGGTTTCTACACCTTAGAAGGAATGATTCGTTTCTCTCTACGTGGAATTTCACAATCCACCCTTTGTGTCTCTAGTAGATATTATTCTTTTTGGACTTTTTTCTTATAGTAATATTGGTAAAAGAAGGATTCCATGTTGTTCCATGGTCGTTGATGATGAGGGAGACATGACTCAGCTCACAAATCAAAAGCAAAAGCAAAAGCTTTAATTTGAACCCGCCATCTCTCCATGCACCAAACGTGTTCCCTTTAAATATACATTTACGCCATTCTCACACCCTACCACATTCAAAACCCTCTAATTATAATTTTCTCCCTCTAATTTTCTTCCTTAAAAAAAAATGAAATCTGCAATTCAACAACACGTTCTTGGAATGCAGCTGTCATTGGCTCTTGCACGAGCCAGATTCCTGGCTCATCCCTCCAAGCATCTCCATATGTCTTCTTTAGATGATGGATCTCAATCAATACAGAAATGTAAGCTTAAGAAGAACAAAAAAAGTGTTCTTTTTTGGTTGAATCTATGAATAATTTGCTGATTTGGGTTTTGAACTGTTGCAGATAATGGGAAAGATTGGATCTTGAATCGAGTCCACAAAAATGGGAGAAAACCCGACAATATCATCCGTGAACTCCGAGAACATGGTAAGTCATCTACAGAGATTCCAAAATTTGAATTAGGATTTGGAATTGAAAGCTATCCTCACCTACCAACGTAGGTGGTAGGAATAGTTTTCTCTCTTAAAAGCAGCTTAAAGCTTAACTGAAGCAGGTTGACACTATTTCTGCTAATTTGGGGTCGATTTGCAGTGAAATTAGGAGCCAAGATCACAGAAACAGTGAAGGGAAAGTTGAGCTTAGGAGCAAGAATTGTAAGAGTTGGAGGGGTGAGGAAGATCTACAAGAAGCTATTCACAGTGAGTGAAGGAGAGAAGCTGTTGAAGGCATCACAGTGCTATTTGTCAACAACAGGTGGGCCTATGGCTGGCCTTCTCTTCATTTCCACTCATAACATTGCTTTTTGCAGTGACAAATCCATCAAACTCTCATCCCCAAATGGCGAAGAACATGTTAGAATTCACTATAAGGTAACTAAGCCCTCCTTAAGAATGCCTGTTTTTGATTAAATTGTGATTTGTAAGCTTAAGATGAACAAATTTTGCAGGTTGTGATACCAAATGAGAAGGTGATGAGAGTAAATGAGAGTGAGAATGTGAAGAAAGCATCACAAAAGTACATACAAATAGTGACAGTGGACAAGTTCGAGTTTTGGTTTATGGGTTTTCTAAATTATCAATCAACTTTCAACTCTCTTCAAGAACTACAAAGATGACTTTGAGCTGTCAGATTTTCTCATGGTTGGATGATGAAGATGTGTCTATGAATATGCAATTTGAAGCATGAAATAGTGATTGTTTTGTACAGATTATTGGAGTAAATTACTCCATTTTTATCCCTAAATTTGAAATTTTGTATCAATTTTCACCCATCGATTCATTTACAAGTTGATGTCATGATCATATATGTTCGCACCTCTCTAAAAGATGAAAATTAAAAA